TGCGGTCGTATTCGAATCCGTCGGCGCAGTACACGTACGACTCGTCGTCGGACGCGCGCAGCGAGCACGGGTACGCGCACGGATTCGGAAGCCACACCGAACCCTTGTCGAGACGGCGCTCGCGGAACGCGTCTTGAAACGCGCGATCCACGATCTCGTCGTAGAGTTCCACGTCGTTGTCGGATCGCTTCTCGCCGTAAAACGCGGTGGGCCATTCGATGAACGTGGCCTCGCGACAATACGGACCAACGGTATCCGATCGATCCGGAACCCAACGATCCACGCACGAGCACGAACCGTGCAGAAACACGTCCCATTCGCCTCGCACGGACTTGTCGTCGAGGCGACCCTTGCCGTTGCATCCGACGTCGCGCAAACAAGCCGTCTGAGGACCGTTCAGATTTGTCAACAGGTGCGGATACTTGCACTGGCACACGAAGTTGTAACTGGTGTCCGCGTCTCCGGATCTGCGTCGTACCAGTATCCAGTTGCCGCTGAACGAATTGCACGCTTTTTTCAATTTCGATTCCGACGATTCGGTGTCGCGCAGTTTCTCCAATTGACGCACCACGTCCTCGCGCAAACAATAACCCTTGTTCGCGGCGGAATTCGCGGGTAACACTCTGGTGGCGTTGGAATTGGAGTCGAAGATAGGCGTGTCCTCGGGCACGTGGTGACACACTCGCAGAGTAACGCGCGATTCGATGCATTCGAAACAAGCGTTGAATCCGAGCGGAACGTCGCACTCGCGCAAATCGTCGAAGTCGTCGCATTCTCGCGTGTCCGTCGACCACTCCGGTACAACGACACCGGAGCGATCGAACGATCGCAAGCGCTTTCGACCGTACAAATCGCAAGATTCGTTTTCCGCGAGCGAACGCTTGTCGCGACGAGCGCCTTTGAAAGTGCCGTGTGTTTCGGTTTGCTCAGACGAAGCGTTCGCGGAAACGCTCGCGGAACGTTCGATTTCGGTTTCCGAAGATGTTGCGTCGCGCCACACGTTCTTCGACTCGATTCGAAGATACGAGTACGCGACGTAAATCGCCAGAAACGTAACAGCGAGGTACGCCACGATCATTATCAGACACACCGTTAGATTACTCGACCACATTGCGACGATGCGCCGTCTACGGCGCTCTCGCACTCGGCGTCTACGGCGCTTTCGCGCTCTGCGTCTACGATGTCGATGGTTCCTTGTAATCGAAAACGCACAACGGTCGAATCAAACGGATCGATGCAAAGCTCTCCTTTGAACGACGTTGATTCAACAACGGTGTCCAAACAACTCACACCATTGAATGGTTTAACCTCGCGAGCGACTGCGACAATTTTGAAATTACGATAACTATCTGAACGATTGTTCTTATCGTCGTATCGTTGATCGTTCGCTCGATCGTTCGCTCGATCGTTCGCTCGATCGTTCGCTCGATCGTTGTCTATGACCGCAGCGAATCGTCGTAGCGCGTTGGGTAACGATCTGCTGTCTTTGATCAGTACGTACACTATCGCTGCGTTAAAAACACCCATCGCGGCGTTAAAAAGCGCGATCGCGAGACGCGCCGTCAAAAATAGAAACATGAACGTCAGATCGTTCGCGTCAGGTGCGAAATCGTTCGCTGGATTATTCGATTCGTTGTTCGTTGGAAACGCGCACTCGCGCTCGTACAGCACCCGTGGATCCGCGAGTAGCGATCGAGTGAACACCGTAGTTGTCGATTCGTTCATGCCGATCGCGTATATCACGGCGCTGCGCTGCTCCCTTAAACAATTCGCTTCTTTTCGCAAGCTTGCAAAATACGCGTGACAGTTATGAAACGTTCGAACGCAACGAGCAACGATCGTTCTCGCTCGAGCAACGACAGCGGTAACAAACGTTCTCGATTTGGCGACGGTTATTCGTTGCACGCGGACGACGATTCGTTTCTCTTGCGACAATTGTACAACGCGGCGTACGACGAGTCGAGAAGGTACTCGTTGAGCGACGCTCGCGTGCAAGCGGCTTTGGACAAACTGAATCGATTCGCCGTCGAGTCGAATCTGATGCGCGCCGTCGAGAAAACAATGGACAACGTTGTTGCGGAATCGACGCGCTCGCTGCCAGAGGTCGCCGTGACAAAACGCGTAGCACCGTACAGATTGCTGCGGAGTCGATTCGAAAACGAGTTTCCGAGAAGACCCGTTGTTCGCGTCGGTTCGCGCTACGTCGCGTCTAGCGGCTCGCGCGAACGCGTCTGGACCGTTCGCGAACTGATCAGCGAGAGATGGATGTTGTCAGCGCGCGATCCGACGGTAGCTGTGTCGAGCGACGACGTTGCCAAGGGAGCAGCGTCGAATTGCTCGTTCGTCGATCGGTCCGACGGTGTCGTCGAAGGCGAATTGGCTCAAATCTCTACGTCGGTGTTGCTCACGGACAGATTGCTAACGATGGCGCGTGGTGATCGCTATACTCCGATCGAATGTTCAACGGTCAACGGTTCGTTCGTGCTAGCTTCGGTCGCGATCGATAAAATAGCCACGTCGTTCGAAGAGTCCGAAATGGGGCGCGCGCGCGTTCTTCGCAACGTCGCGGCGAAACTGCGAAACGAGCGCGACAATCTGTTGACTATCGCGCGATTGAAGCGAGACATGCGCAACGTGGACGAACTCGTTCAAGCACTGTCCACCAAATTGTCGCTCGCTACAAGAGATACGACCAACTACATATCCGCTACGTTGCAGGGTCTGCACGAAAAATTGAACGAAACTGCGCGAGCGCAACGCGCTGTCAGATCGGACATTCTCGAACGTTCGCGATCCGAATTGAACGAATTGAACAATCGGTACGATGCGCTGCTCGCTAAAGTCTCCAAGTTATGTGGATTCGTCGTAACAGAGTTGAACGATGGTAAAACCGTCGCGCCCGCGAGCGTTGCTTCCGCAGACGGTGCGCCCGCGAACGTCGCTTCCGCCGATGGTGCGCTCGCTACCGTTGACTTCGCAGACTTTGAGAGCAACGCGCTCGCTAACGTTGACTTCGCGCGAGTGAGCGCGAGCGTTCGCGACGCGCGAACGAGATTGGCCGAGGCGTTGCGAGTTGTTCAAAACTTGGACACCGATGTGTCCGAAGTCGCGAACAGAGAGCGCGCGTTTTTCGACGGCGCGACGTCGTGCTCGCTCATCGCCGAACGTTTGAACTCCGCGTTAACTCCACCGGACGCGACGAACCTTCCGAAAGGGTTGCTGTGTTACCGCAATTACGCGAGATCGTTGAAGCGAGCGCGAGACGAATTGAACGAACGCGTCGAATTGATCGCTCAACTCGAACGTTTGAGCGTTACTCTGGCTGTCAGGGAATCGTTCGCGCGCGATTTGAACGATTACGCGCGTTGGTACGCTGTTGCAACGTTCACAGCTCCGAGAAACGTGGACTTTTTGAACACGTCGTGCAACAGAAGCGATTCGCGCAGTTACGACGTATCGAGAACGTCGCGTTTTGGCGTCATTTTGCGCGCGTGCGAACACCTAGTTGACGTTAACGCGAAACATATGGCGTTCGTGCTTGCGCTCACGCTCTACATGTTCACGTCTCTGAAACGAGACACGTTCGAGCGCCAATTGTTACTGGCCTCTTCGAACTCGAATCGAGCGATTTTGCGAAGTCAACGTTCGAGCGACGCGAACGCGTTCGACGTTGCCTCGATTATGAGCGCGTTCGACGTTGTAAGCGACTTGTTGGAAACAGCTCGATCCAGAACCGATTGTCTGACGACCCGATTGTACGGTTACACCCTCGCGTACGCTTTGTTGCGTGTCTGAACCGTTGCAATCGAGACGTCTCGATTGAACGCGCGTAATATTCGCGAACCTCGAATCGAGCGTGGCGAACGTTGCGCAACGTTCGCACTTGAAACGAAAACGAAAGACATCTTTGATTCGAATCGATCGGACTCTCATTATTGCAACACGATTCCGAGCGACGCGAACGTAACGACGACGCTCGTGGAAAAATGAGAGCCTCGTGATCGTCTTGTTTTCAAAAAGGCAGACGTCGTTGGTTCGGCAACCGATCGCTCCTTTTTTCGCGCAAACGGAATTCTCGAAACAACCTGCTCGATCGACTCGTTCTCGAACGAACGGAGCTCGCGGACGCGACAACGCTGGAGACCGTTTTGCCACGACGATCGATGTTCGATGATTCGTTCAACGAAGCGGAGTACGACGTCGCGACCGTTCCGATGCTCACCGATTCGGCGCGAGATGCGTTCACGAAACGATTCAACGCTCTGTCCGCCGAAGCGAACAAGGCCGAGAGCGAGAGCAACGTAGTTGCGGCGGACAAGCACATAGAGGTTAGCGCTCTGACCGCCAGGTTTCACGACGAGTACAGTCTCAGTTTGGCGCCGTCGGATCGCGCTCTGTTGCAGCGCGAAGTTTTCGCGCGATGCATGCAGGCGCTCAGTTTGCGCTCAGCCGAACTGAGCGGGTTGGGTGATCTAGCCTTGTCGCTGGGAGAGAAGCGCAAATTGTTGAAGAAAAAGGAATAGATAATACAGTCTTTTGCCGCATCACGAAAATTATATTTTTGTTTTTTTGTAATTCGCGGGAAGACCGAACTTGCAGACAGCCCGGTAGAGGCATGACACCTACGAGGACGGATGGTCCTTATTCCGGCTTCTTAGTTTTTGTTTTTGGTGTTGGTGTCGCTGCAATCGAACTTCCAGTTCCTTCTTTTTCTTACTTGCCACGCACGCACCTTTTTTTAGCAATGAGTTTTTCTTTTTCTTAATAAGCGTGTATTTTGTAGTAGAAACCCTCTTTTTGTCTATGAGACATATTCAAAATGAAAACGGTGTATTAACTCTTTTTGTGAAAAGTAAACGTTTGTGAAAGTTAAAAACTGATGTATCAAATTATTGAAAAACCATAACCAACAAATAGGTTATGGGCCCAGAGCACGCGGCGGTGAATCGAATTGATGACTATTGATTGTGGGGCCGAGAGAAAAAAAAATGGAAGAACAAATGATATCGTTCACCAGTTTTCCCAAATTGAATTCAAACAATTACAACTCATGGAAAGTGGACATGAAAGTGCTGCTCATNGATCGAGGATCATGGGAATTCGTCACTGGTGATACTGTACCCCCTGAACAAAGTGCAACAGCTCGAGAAAAATATGATTATCGGAGAAGGATGGACAAAGCATATACTACAATCTACCAAGGTATTGAAAGACAATTTCAAACGTTAATTGCTAACACACTAAATGGGAAAGAAGCTTGGGACATTTTGAAAAAAAATTTTGAGCCGACATCACGTGCCCGTCTGGCAGGACTTGTAGATGAATTCTACGATTTAAGGTTCAATCAAGGGGAAGAAACAGTCGGTATATTTTGTCGAAGAGTATATGAGAGAAAACTAATGATCAAAGAAGCTGGTTTCGAGATACCGGAGATATTAACATGTTTTCAACTAATACGAAAATTGCCTGTTGAATATGATAATCTGGTACAAACCATTTACAGATTAGAAGATAAATATTTCACTTTTGAGAATATTGAGAGACAATTGATCACAGAAGAAGCAAGAATTAAACAGAAGAGAAAAGATGAAGGATTAGACGGTGTAATAGATGCATACCAGACAGGAGCCAGCAAAGAAATGAAGAACTTCAAAAAGGAAAGTAAAAATCCAAAAGGACAAGCGAGAAATAATGGAACTGCTGCGAATAAAGGAGATAAACGCAATTTCAATGAAGACAGGAAAGAAAAATATTGCAGGTTTTGTAAGAAAGCTGGACATCTGATGGAAGATTGCTATGCATTAAAACGGAGACAACAGTATGATACAAGGAGGAATTCAGGTTATGAAAAAAAGGCTTTTTACATTGAGGATACCGCAGACGTGCGAGATAATATGTATCATGAAGCACAGATGACAGACTCGGCAAGGAAAACTCTTGATGAATGGTTAATAGATAGTGCAGCGACATCTCATTTTTGTAAAGAAAGAGAGTGGTTCCAAAAATTTGAGAATCTTCCCCCTACGGACGTATTAATAGGAGATAAAGATGCAAGATCTCGTGTATTAGGAAAAGGGGACATCGTTTTCTACGTCAGAGATAAAAATAGATTTACAAGAATCAAATTGAAAGATGTTTTGTACGCGCCAAA